GTTGTTGCCTCGTTCGGTCTGACTCGACCTGCAGTGATCGCCTGCTCTGGCCGCCCGGGGGAGCGTCAAGTGCGTGTCGTGTTGGTCACACTGTTGGCTTCACTTTGCCTCGGACAGCAGATGCCGAAAACCGGACGGAGCAGGCCACAACCTGTTGACGAGACTTGTCGGCGTGACAGTAGCTCTGGTTCATCTTGCTCTGCATCACCATCGCTTGTCTGTACGTTTTGTCGAAGTCTTTTGTCGAACTATTGGCATATTTGACCACTCTTTCGTCTCTCTGACGGCCCTACATTCACTTATCGCTTGGCCAGTCGCTTGTTCGGGCCATTTATCTCTTCACTACTTATCACATCGCCTCTTCACACACACACACACACACACACACACACACAAATCTATACACATCCGTACCCCACATGTTTTCCGTAGACCCCTTGTCTATTTTTTCAATCTTTCCCCCTCCTTCTCCACATCACTTGTACTCTTCATAGTCAATTTCATTCATTTCACAGTCCCTAAGTCTCTTCTTTCCGTTGCCCTCTTCCATCCTCGTTCATCTTCCATCTTCCACGTCCATCCATCCATCCATCCATTCATCCTCACTCAGCCATTCTCTCCACCCATTGGCCAGTAAGTTGGCCGGCCCACCACCGCTCCCTCGCCTCGCCTCCACTCCTCAACTCACCCTCGTTCCCACATGCAGCTGGCCATTTCAGGTGACATTTATATCCAAGTCGACCAAACTGTTTATATCTACTCCGAGCCCATGTAAACTGGGCAGCTGGGGCCCAGTCTCCGTCATGGTCCGGTCGGAAGGAGTGTACAGTCACAGTCATACTCCATGACTTTCATCAGTACACATCCGTCTCCCCATCTCACGGCCTCCTCCATAACTATCACACGTTTATCCCGATTTTCTCCGCACACCCATTCGGCCCTTAACGCCGCAGCAACCCCTGGCATCGTGTATGCAAACAGATCCAGACATTTGCCCGCTTGCGTGTGCTCATGTGCACAGCGCACACGTGTGCCGCATGCAGACACAGCCTCATGCATAAAGGACATTTTTTCTCCGCTACCTGCTCGCTCCACTGCCGGCAATATCACTTTTGATAGCACCGCATGGTGCTCTCCCCATTTTTAGGCCTCCTCTCTCTCTCTCTCTCTCTCGCATACACATATATATGTATGTATGCATGTATGCATGTATGTATGTATGTATGTATGTATGTATGTATGTATGTATGT